TTGAACAAGCAAACAGAGGCATGCACGTGATCTTGATTCAAAGAAACGTCGCTACTACAAGCATGTGCTGAAAACCGATGGCATTGTACTATTTTCGACTGGACATGGTATATTTCTGGTTGTTGCTGATAGCTGGACTTCATTGCGCCAAAATGTTGCTGATAATTTTACAACCGGATAGGGGTATCACTTTAGTAGACATGTCAATGGGACAGGGTGGTTGGAATTCTTCGGAAAGGCTGTCACGACAGTGTCCATCAGTCGGTCATATTAAGGTTTGGAGATAGCACTGACGTATCTGGTAGGATTTAGTTGGACGTAGGGTTAGGAGCCATGGGCGTAGCCAGAGAGGGCAGGAATCTAAAAATGCCTGCCCTTATTCAGTAATAAAATAAGTTTACATAGAATTTGGTCTATTATAGCAATGATATCCTCTATCAACTGACATCTACTTTCATTTTACGTGATTAAACTGCGGACTTGATCATGAAAAATGTGAAAACAACATCAAGTCAGTTTGTCCCATCAAGCAAAGTAATTGCATATCAGTCCCGTCCTGAAATTCGATCGCCCAGAGGTCAAGTTATTTTTCGTTGATGTAACAAAACATATTTGTCGTTGATGTAACTAAACATGCAAGCTTCAATTCAACTGATTTTAAAATGTAAACATTATTAATTAATTTACTATGATTTTTTAAATATGTAGATGGAACTAGCATTTCATAACTTCTACTGTCATTTTCTCAATGCCTACTTTTTCCATGTGGGACTGATATGGTATTATAGGCAGTATAACAGTTTATATATCCTTTGTATGTCTGGTCAGCAAAGCAGTTTATTCAACATAATTCTATGAATTTGTGTTTCTTGGCTCAAAAATCACTATACTTGTCACTCAATTTACAAATGCATGTATTGGATAACATATAAAGCTCTCAATTAATAACTACAATAATAGAACTAATGCTTCAAAGAACACTAAGTTGAGTACAACCGAAGGCTCGTGGCAGAGTGTCGAAGCCAGGTACATGGTTGACTTTGGGTATTTCTTTACTTGAACTTTGAAATTATGTTTTAAAACATTAAGCTCCGTGGAAGAAAATGAAGATCATGGAAATAAATATGAAAGCAAATCAGAGAGAATTCCTAAGAAACTAGGAAAGCTCCGAGGGAATACTTAGAATAATTCCAATGGAATCAAAAACTAAGGATAGTTCTAAATAAATTCTTTGTAGAGTTCCAATGAATTGCTGGGTGCATGCCAAAGCATTCTCAGGGAAATAAAATGGAAAATAGAGGTGAATATGAAAGGATAAATTCAACGGAGCTTTGCGAAAATGGAATGAATACGAAGAAATCTATGGGAATATTTCGAGGAGTTCATATGATATATTTTTTATGGATTTTCAAGAAATTTCTTCGGACAATTTTATTACAATTATTCTGAGTAGAATATTTCAAAATTATCAAGGGAAAGCTATGGGAGTTGTGAAGAATATTTCATGGAAATTTATAAATAATTATAGAGCAACGTTAATGCATCCCCAAGTAACATTTTTGGTCTTGAAGCCCACTTTTAGTCTTATAAGCCTTATCAAAATCATGATAAAAACGACAAGGGACAGCCCTACGGGTTGTACGCAATGGCGACGTAGGACTACGTGGTCTTATATAATAAATGTTGTTGTTTTTTTTAACTGCAGCAGGAGCTTGTGTTTTGTGTTGGAATAGGAATTTGAGCGGGGTTTTCTCTATGGATGCTCATGTGGGCTGCAGCTCGCTGCTTGCAGGTAGCTTTTCGTTGTGTACTGGAGAACAATGTTCAACGCCACGTGCCAAAAGCACTGCTGCTGCTGATGCTGATGCTGAATCGCTCCAATTTTATAAAAAAAATAAAATGAAGTGGAAAATACCTTTTTTTAGGTACCCACCCACTAAATTCCAAAATAGTTTAAAGTTGAAACAACAATTTTACTCTCTCTTGACTTTTATTAACACTAAAAGCACTGACACTGACTTTTAAGAGCAAGAAACGACAGTGACGTGATAAATTAAAAAAAAAAATTAAAATAGACTGAAAACCTCGAAACTAAAGGGTGTCCACAGTTAAGTTGCATCACTTTAAAAAAGGTGTAACAGTTTGCCCTTTGGGTTGATTTTAATAAAATTTTGGGTGAGATGGCCTCAGGGTGTATTGTTTACACTGCGTGAGTTTAATTGTGAAATTCATAGTAGTTTTGAGTATGAACTCGAAGGAACTTCCTGTATGCGAGAAAATTTTGCACACTCACCTCAACAACCCACATCTTTTCCACCAAACCATCGAAGAAATGTTGGGAACCCAACAATCTACTGGATTTCTCGTGTCATAAAACGTTTCAGAGAACGTTTAACTGTCGATCGGAAGCAAGTGAGTGCAAGAAAAAGTGTTCCGTACTGTGTTGAAGATCATAAATCAAGGAAAACAAAATAAAATCGTGACTTTGCTTCTTCGGCAATGTTTCTCAATCTTGTGGTGCCAGTACCGAACCGATGCGCGTTATTTGATCTAGCAACTTCTGACGTCAATGTTTAAATAACGACATATGATGAGCAGATGCCAGAATTAAATGTCTTTAATTTTCCACCATATGCAAAATATTAGTTCTATTTTTGAAAGATAAGAAGATAAGCGAAGAGTGAATTCTTAACAAACAACCTTGACAACTTACACCTAGGTGGTTTCAAGCAACACTGCCAATAAAAACAAGATAGTGCTGGTCGATTGTTTCGGGGTTAGTTATTTCGTATGGCTTTATTTTTTTTATTTTTTTTTTGTTGGGATTTGAACTACTGCGACCATTAAGCTGATCTATTGTGGTATACCCCTGTTTAGTATCGCATCTGTTCAGGATGACGAGTTACCATTTAGGGTAACTGCCGTTGTTGCCTGATAATGCGGAGTACCCCAATCTGGTATGATTCTTAGAATGAATTCAATCACCATTTTGGGATTTTTTAACCAAATCTCAGAAGGACTTACTATACTTTTGTTGAAATATTGTCTTCTGCGCACGAAGTATACTAAGGTGCCCTGAAAGATTGCCTTCAAGATAGACGTTTGTTCTGCGTAGCCTTAGTGCACTCTTTCCAGCTTCCATTTGCACGTATTGATGCAGTGGGAGCATATTGAGGGCTGCCTCCATGGCCTTTGATGGTGTGCTGTGCATTACTCCTGTTATGGCCATGCAGGCCAAACGTTGAAATTTATCTAGCTTTTTCTGGGTCACGCTTTGCTTTGTTTTAGGCCACCGAACCAATGAAGCGTATACTATTCTAGATCTTACATTAACCGTGTAGATCCAATGAATCATTTTAGGATTAAGTCACCATTTTTTCCAAATGTTTTTTTACTAACCCAGAGAACATTCGTGGCTTTTATTATTACCTGTTATAAGTGTAATTTCCAATTAAGTTTACGATCTAGAATGACTCCCAGATACTTTACAATTGACGAGTATTATATAAAAGATCCATTAATTGACAAACTTTTGAGTGTTACTTGTCTTCTGCGAGTGAACGGGACCAAAACTGTTTTGGATGGGTTTATATTTAACCCTTCATTTTGACACCACTGAAATTTGCCGTTCAATGCAGATTGCATTTTATTTGTGATGATGTGAACAAATTTTCCACGAACTGCTATGACCATGTCATCAACAAATCCGATAACTTCGAAGCCTATTTCCACAACAACACGTGACCATAATAAGGGCGACAATACACCTCCTTGAAGACACCCCCTAGTGGTCTTTATTGTTATTGATGATTCTCCCAAGTCAGCCTATACTTCTCTATTATTCAGCATTTTCATAATCCAAATTATAATGCAATGATCAACGTTTCTTTTTTCCATTCAGTTTTTTTTTTATAGATTTGTAAGATGTATTATCAAAAGCGCCCTTTACATCGAGAAATGCTACGAGAGCAATTTCTTTTTTGTCAAGAGTATTTTCTACTTTTGCAACCATTTTATGTAAAACTGTGACTGTAGATTTGTTTGATTGATAAGCAATTTTAATTTAATTTATTTAATTTAGCCGGAAACCTTCGTTAATCAGAACCAAACACAAACAGATAGTTCAACACAGATGAAGCAAAAATTATATGTTTTATTATGGAATTTTCGAAACTTGACGTCAAAATTTTACAGTCTATTATGTCAGGAGGATTTGCATGCAAAAAACGATGAAGGACATCTACCGATATCTAGGTATTTTTTTTACCGACATCTCAGCGTATCAAACATCACGCGGATAAAAGTGTTTCAACTCTAATTAATTGTCGTTGACTATCGAATGACTGAGCTATGATATGTTCTTATGAAACTTTTGAAACACTCTGCCTGCTGCACTGCAGTTTGTTGAACTGCTCTTGATAACATGAGCCAGGTTCTTCATTTGCCTCATTTAACCTCGAACAGCTGTTAGGGTCAAATACCGAGAAATAATTTTTCACAATCCTTGCTGCTACTGCGCCCTAGATTGACACAACGCGCAGGAATGCACTGCATTTGGGGTTTCTTTTCTGAACTTGAATAATTTTGCTTCGTTCACGTGCCACCCATTATCTGATGTGTGTTTTTTTTAATTTAATCCACAACAACCTATTTCAATTTCATCACCTATTACTTTTGTCTTCACACGTCGTCGTTCGTTGTTAACCCTTTTGAATCTCATCGTGAGATCGACATTGAATATTCTGCTTATATCCACTTGTATCGAGTTTGGATGTATTGCAGAAGAGTAATAATGTAAATAAAGTGTATGTGACCGTTTGAAAATAATAACGTACATCCAAATCAGAATAAACATGCATCAGACAGAGCGTACTTTTCTTAAGTCAACCAGGACCCGAGATAACGTTATCTCCCCCACCCGAATGGCACATACATTTTTCTGTTGCCTGGCGAGGGAAAGAAATACATATAATCCAACCGAAATGGGATCACCAACTTACCCCAGCTTTTGGAGGTTCGTCCTAGCACTTGGCCGGTTTTACTATCGTACAAAAACTGCCCAAAGGGCTGCTTTTCCGGTCTAAGCGGGAACTCGTACGTCGTTATGATGCGACCATCAGTAGTTTTCATCACACTTTTCTCCATCTTCTTAAGATAGAACTACTGACACTGATATAGACTGAGACGAACTAATTGCACTTTGAGGTTAAAATAAATTAAATAAATACTACACGGTACACGATACACTTCGTTAACGGTGAACCACTCTCACTGTTCAAGGCTTAATTTTCGCGGGGATTATTGCCACTTTTGTGTGGATTTTTACTACAACTACGTAGGTACTAACGTTCTGATTTCGATTTTTTTCTTATCACGACGGAGCAAAGATTCCAGATTTGTTTGTTTTGTTTGTACAGCACCTACTCGACGATTAACTCGTTTGCATGGGTGACTACGATGCACGAAAAGTCTGATCAACAGGTCCTCAAACCTCTGCTCGATCGTTGGCGCCCTTTAGCAGATGTTGGATGGTAGTACTCGAGAGTGCATGCCGTTTTGCTACCGCTCGCACGCGTTGGCCACCAAGAACTGAATCGAATCGAATCAACCGTCGCTCAGCTCTGCTATAGATTAGCTTGGGCCCGGTTTGATGCACTGTGCTGCCGCCAACAGTGCCTCGCACGACCGAGGCGGACACATGGATAAGCTGAATGTGTGCTACTATCTCTAGCGTGCGTATAAAAACTACACTGCTGTGTGTCAAATACTAATGCGATTACTCAGGGTTGCCAGTGATACACGATAACGGTGACGTTGGTCATTGATGAGACTGATAAGAGTGCGGAAAAAAATATACATTATGACGGAGGGTAAAATTTCTAAAATAATCGCTTATGAACGAATTAGCTGGTTACGTTACGAAAATGTATGATACACAGTAAAAAATAAATATTAATATTACATCCAAGAGGATGCACTTTAATCGTTTCGAAAATCTCATGTTATTTTTATGGCCGCCAAAATAAACAAATGCAGTAAAAGCAGCGTAATGTTAGTTCATGCACTGTATTTATGATAATTTTGTCGTTTTTGAAAAGTAATATAACACCATTATTTTGACACGGTTGAAGTGCATCCAATTTGATGTTATATCAAAATTATGTTTTTGCTATGTACTTTCTGACCTCATAGATTCCCATTATGCTCGTAAATACCAAGAATTAATAAAAGGGTATGGTATGTTCTAATTAAAACAATAGTTATTGCAATTTAATTCATTATGCTTAAACCGATTGGTTTACGGCTTTTTCAGTTTTTTTGAACTCTTCATTTGTTTCAAATTCAAAATAAATTTCATTTAATATTAATCTAGGTGATCCAGCTACCATAGTAACTTCCCAGCCTTAATATATATCTAAGTGTTTTTACATTGTTCCTGCCTTAGAAATTCAGAATTTTAAACAGGTTTTCTTAGCCTGCCTGTTAGCACAGACTAGAGATGAACTAGCCTAAGGCTAAAAATCTCTTTAATAAAGAATAAAAAAAAAAAATAAAAAAAGTTAGCACAGACAAACAGACATAACACTCGCAAGTTGTTCATCGAACTAGCATTTAACGGTAAATTTAAAAGTATTGTAGTTGGTAGTACCGCCATCTGTTCTGCGTACTACCCACCACAGTGTACTCAACAGATGGCGGTAATGTTTTAGTGACGATTTTACAGTGAGAAATATTCAATGTGTTATGTCTGTTTGTCTGTGCTGTTAGTACAACAATTTACATCCTAATCTAATCTAATCTAATCTAATCTAATCTAGTCTAATCTAATCTAATCTAATCTAATCTAATCTTATCTAATCTAATCTAATCTAATCTAATCTAATCTAATCTAACACCAACACAGCCAGTTCTTGAAAGCATCCTGGAAAATGAGGTATATACCTACATCATTTTTCTTGTCTATTTGATGTATGTTTCACATCGAAGATACGTCACACATGTCAAGACGGCCAGGCCTACTGTGCAGCATTTAAGGGGCAAGATGATTCTGAAAATATCGAGCCTGTTTAAATCAAGGATTTAAACACAATGCTTCAGAATCCAATAAATGGATGAAACGTGGACATCTCGTACCATAAGTTCCGATTTTGGTAATTATATGATTGGTTGGTCGTTGGAAGCATCAAAGCTAGAAAGGTTAGATGATGCTCCATTTTCTTCTGACGGTTGGAGCATGAGCACTAACTCTTGTCCAAGCCTTTTATGATTTATGGCTATAGCGCCATTAATCGCTTTCTGAAAAGAGAAGAGGGAAAGGAAAAGGAGAAGGACAAAGGCAAAAGGATTATGTGAAATCTATGAACATAAACAATATTTTTGATTTGAAATATACAATACACTCAGGTCTTTTTTTACACGGGGGATACGGTCCGTGTAAAAAAAAAACGTGTAAAAAAAACCTACGAGATTTTGATTTTTCGCATGCTTAAATGTTTTTAAAAAATCGGATTTTGATGCCATTTGTAATTAAAGCATGATATGGTCCATATAGACATATTTTAAAAATTTCTGTATTTACACCAAAAATTGTGATTTTTTTTAAGTATGCCATTCGATTACAAATAGCTTGAAACGGATAATGTGATTGGAATCAAGTCGATAGGTTGTATCGTTGCCGAGAAATCGTTAAAAACGTACCGTGTAAATCGTGGAAAACCGTGTAAAAAAAAGACCGTGTAAAAAAAACCGCATAAAAAAAAACCGTGTAAAAAAAGACTTCAGTGTATACAAATGCATAACGGCGCGGTGGTCAGTCTTGTCACAATTATCAAGTCATAAAAAGTAACAAGGACTAAAATGTGATCCTTTGATTACTGGAAAATCCTGATTCCCAAGTTTGAAGTTGTCGTTACTGGTTTGAAAAAGATAAACATTTACAAAATGGAACGAACTCACCAAGTTTAGTCAATTGAACCTGAAGGCTGCCTGACATGTGTTGATGTAGAAGTGCAAATTGTAGATGAATCTTGACGAAGATCAACATGAACTAGTCCGGTTTATGGTAGTTGCGCAGAATGTCTTCCTTCAATTTGAGATAAACAAATGTTTGGATGTATGTAGTCGATTTTTGATGTGCATTGGCAAGCCTTTTCGTGGCCAATATTCAGGTTCAACGCTGCGACTCAACGAATGATGGAACTAATGAGGGGACGTGGAGATTCTAACAACCGGTGGCAACTAACGATTTTAAATTGGCTCACTACTTGACTAGCCTATTGGTTCCAAGCAAACGATTAACGTACCCCATTCTAGTTGAAATTCTACTATGTTTGTTTTGAGTCGCTATGAAATTTTGACAGATAAAATGAGGGGTTCACGGATTTTCCTATGTTTTGAGGGGTGCATCGATTAGCTTGGGACCGAAGAGAGTACCAGAGCTGAGCCAAAAAGTTGAGCACGTTTCTTCGGGACCTTCTGGTCTTAGAGTTACCTCTATGGTTCTACTTGGCTTCTCAGCGGCAAATAATAGGGACCTAGAATGAGGAACTAGAAATTTTCTCCTGGGCCTAGTCATGGCCAGATCAGCAACCGATTATAGATTTAAAAAAAAAACTCCACGGAAAAAACAAACGTAAGGTTCGAACACATGCACAGCCTACTCTCTTAGTATAACAATTGACATCTTAAAACTAAAAACTAAAACTAAATCCTATCTAGGGTAGGTGTACCAGTTATGACCATACGTTCCTATTATGGTGTGTTCCAGTTATGGCCTATGGAATTCCATAGGCCATAATTGGAACACACCATAATAGGAACGTATAGCCATAACTGGTACATCTACCCTAAGTATAAAGGGAATTATTCATTGCAATTGAAGATTGCAACGATTTTTGCCTGAAAATATTAATAATTTTGTTGGAAATTTTTTTCTAAAGTCTCAACATTCGAAATTCTATGTACCTCGGTAGTACTGTACCAAGGAGGCAACTTCAAAATCATCTTCAGAACTTTTTTTTTCTGAATCCTTTGAAGTGTTTTTTTTCCTGGTAGTGCAACGACTAGACCATATTGGCATAGCATAAAGCATGGCCGGTCTAAAATCTTGTTTAAATATGAGAAGTTTATTCTTCAGGCACAATTTGGATTTTCTGTATACAAGAGGATGCAGAGGGCTTTGTGGTCGTGCGGTTAGAGGTGTCACCCGATGTGCAGGTGTATTATGAGTGCCACGAAGTGAGGGTTCGATTCCCGCCCCAGCCGGAGATAATTTTTCGCAACTTGTAAATTTCCCTACTGGTCTACTGAGTGATGTGTGTTGTCCGTTGTCTAGTGTTAAGTATTCAGTCTGTACAACCTCTGGTTGAAGACGGTGTCAATGGTCTGTCTTATGTCTTATACAAACATTTTATATATTTGTTACATTTGGGTTGAATGCCTTCAATGTGATCTTTAAAACGAAATGTTTGGTCGAGTACTAACCCAAGATATTTCACTTGAGTTGACCAAGAAATAAGAACTCCGTTCATAGTGACTATGTGACTACTACTAGGAAGGAAGCTCTAGGCTTATGTGGAAATATCATAAGTTGAGTTTTGGAAGTGTTGGGAGAAATCTTGAGTTTTTGTAAATTATAAGAGAAAATATCTAAACTTTTCTGCAGTCTGCTCCAAATAACACCTAGACTTCTTCCTTTAGCGGAAATGCCTGTGTCATCGGCGAACAAAGGTTTGTGGCAACCCTAAGGCAAATCAGGAAGTTCCGAAGTGAAAATGTTATACAATATAGGCCCAAGAATGCTACCCTGAGGAAAACAAAAAATTTTCAATTTAGCAAACAAACCTTGAAGTCAAACACTGTCGAATGCTTTTTCTATATCTAGAAGAGCAACTCCAGTTGAGTAGCCTTCAGATTTGTTTAAACGAAATAAATTGATAACTCTTAAGAGTTGATAAGTAGTTAAATGCCCAAGGCGAAATCCAAACTGCTCATCTGCAAAAATTGAGTTCGTATTGATGTGAACCATCATTCTATTCAAAACTATCTTTTCAAAAAGTTTACTTAAGCGGCGCTGGTGATGTAGTGGTAAGCGTGATTACCTCTCACCCCAGCAAGCCTGGGTTCAATCCCAGTGGCGCCACCGGGATTTTATAAGGCATAACATCTATGATCACGCCTTCCTTCGAAAGGGAAGTAAAGCCGTTGGTCCCCGGTTCATGATTTGATGGGTCGATAGGTAGGGTCCAGGTGTGAGAGCTGCCTCCCTGGCGTCGGTAGCATTGCCCAGACAACCAGAATGAACGTATATTCAAAGTTGTTTTCATGATATACAAACATATATACAAACAAACAATTTGTATAGAATGCAAATAAATGGCTTATACGTATATAAGTGGAGGCCATATACGTGCATATTTTAATTTAATTTTAAACGAGTTCATTTAACATCATATACGATTTAATCTGTAATAACAAATTTATTTTGAAAAGTCTTACGGTGTAATCCAATTTAATGTGTGAAACAGTACGACGGAAAAATGAGTCATCGCATATCGGTCGGAAATTTGCATTCTATACGATTTAACTTAAACATAATGCGATGCATGCCATTCTTATATGCGACTTAAACTGTAGCAATTTACGATACTGTCTGTACATTGTTATACGACTT